ATACACCCAACTGCTTTCGGCCTGTGCTTGGCCCGGTACCCGTACCCAGCCCAGGGCCTGCTTTACATTCATTCACACAGGCGGCCCAGGGCGTGAGTTCATTCAACCAACTGATGCTGTGTAACTGCCTGAATTTCCCCATTTGCGGGGTACCCTGAAAACGAGGCCCTGAGGGCCTGTCGTGCCTGCCTTCACTTAGGGCGGCCGACCTTGCTGCAAATAAGGCCCGTAGGGGCTAAGCGGGCGTAGCCTCGCATATTTTTAATTTTTAATTTTTATTTATATTTTTTGTTTTTTTTGGCCCGGCCAGGCAAGTGGTCTTGGGCCACTCTGGTAGCCTAGTTTTGAACTTTATTTTTTATTTGCAATTCGGTGAAAAAAATTGATGTGACCTTGAGGCAAACGTTGTTCAGTTTGTTTTTCAGAAATGTTTTCTACAAAAAATAGTTTTTTTTTTTTTTTTTTTTTTTTGCTGGGACCATCTTTGGCCCTTGCATGGCCGGCCGCCCGGTCAAACAAGGTGACCCAGGCAGACAAGGTGCCGCCGCCCTATTCCGAATGTGCCAACTTCTTTTTTGGCGGTTGGCGCGTTTTTTGGGGGGGTCCGGTAGGCCCCGTTTTGAAGGTTTTTTTTTTTTTGCAGTCTGGCCGCCGATATGATTCGATCGACAGCGTGCATTGATCTTCTCCTTCGTTTCTTCTTCTTCTCCTTTATTTCTTCTTCTTCTTCTTCTTCTTCTTCTTCTTCTTCTTTCTTCTTTTTGTTTTTCTCTTCCTTCGTTTCTTCTTTTTCTTCTTCTTCTTCGCCTCCCTCCTCCCTCCTCTGATGTGTCACTCCTCCCTCCTCGCGCCCCCTCCATCACCTCGCCCCCTCCCTCCTCCCTCCCTCCTCTGACATGGCGTTTCTCCCTCCTCCCTCTGACTTGGCACTCCTTCGTCCTCCTTCCTCCCTCTGACATGGCGCTTCACCACATGTGAGACACAGCAGCTGCTGTATCCCCCATCCCGCAAATGGGCAGTTGATAATCCAGACCCCTCCTGCACGCCCCCCCCCGCCCACAACACACAGAAATCAACATGCATGAAAATAAAAAAAGAGGCCGGATTTGGGCACTACTCCCAGAGCACAGCAAGGTCTGGCAGCCAAAAAAAAAAAAAGCAAAAAAAAATACTGTGTTTTTTTTGTGTGCCGGGGGTACCCCGGGCGTGGTCCCTACCCGGGCAGAAAGCTCGGGCGGTTGGGGGGGGCGGGCGGGTAGGATGTGGGTGGGAAAAGAGGTGTTGGTTCAAGCCCCATCCGCCTTGAGGCAATTGTAGCCTGTGGTTTCTCGTTACCCTAAACCCTAAACCCTAAACCCTCTGTGTCCTTTCCGTGCTATCTGCTGTCCACTGGCTGTCTCCTCTCTCCTATCTGCCATACCACCGACGGTCCACCATAGTGTTGGACTTTGTTGCCATTCCTATCAGGGAAGTCTGTTGGGGGTCTTAATGGGATGCTGGGGTCCATCTGCGTCCAATCATTGAACCTGAGTACAAAGTCTTTTTTGCAGTGGCGTCTCGGCCCTCTCCCCCACCCCTCTCTCCTCTCTCCCCCCCTACCCCCCCCCCCCCGGCCAAACCCCATTTGCCATCCCTCCCTTTTTTTCCCCCCCCCCCCCAGCCAGTCCATTGAGAATTGCTTGGATATCTTTGTTTTGTTTTCTAGTGTTCCAATTTTTTTTTATTATTTTTTTTAATGCTACTCTTCGCTATATCATTCCAATTTTAACCGATGTTTCCCTAAAATAAAAAATAAAAATAAAAATAAAAAACTGACATCCGGAAGGACGTGTAGTGTTCCAAAGTAGTTTTTCTCTGTTTCCATTGAGCTTGGAGTTCTGTTCGTACTAACTGACGTATCATGTCTGTAACCTCTGGCCCATCGACCCGAACGTCTTCCAGACTGTGGACACAACACTGGCACCAGAGTGCCCATAGGACTGCCTTTCGGCCCCGTTGTAAGAGATGGTTTGTGAAGGTGGATGGCTGGCCCAAGAGGTTGCCAGGCGCCCAGGAGGAGGGAGGGCTCTCCAGTCCCATGGCCAATCCTTGCCGGTGCCCGCTTGTCTCCAGATGCGATCCCATTCCTTTTCCTGGGGCATTCCTTTTCTTGAAGGCCGATGTGGTGTTCGTCATTTCATCACCCAGTGGGTCTGATAGCTCTACTATCCTACAAGCGTTTGAGAGTTGTTATCGTGCTAATTTAGGACTTAAACGTACTGATGACGGCGCTGGACACTTTGGACTTCCTGGGATGATGTCCTATTCATGTCCGCCAGGCGTACCCTTATATGGGTTGTGTCCAGCTGTCAAGGAACGATGACTGTATGTGGGTGTCGGACCAACTGAAGGTCCAGAATGGGCAGTCCTACTTCTCGTGGGGCTGTAAGAGCCAAAGAGTGCTATTATTGGGAGCTACCTCCATCCAGAACACTGATCGGGATGGGGTCCCCCAATCGGGTCCCTCGATCTGATCTGAGATCCCTGATCGAGTCGGAGGACTCAGAAGAGAATCGTCTCTGAAAGAGTTCCTTGATCTGCTTTTTAAGAGGGTCTTAAAGAGCTTTGCTGTCCGAAGAGAGGACATTTGGAGGCATACGGTTAATCGTCTGTACTAATTAGTAATTACTAATTACTGTTTGTAGTTCTTGTGGATGTTGCTTGCTTGATTCAGTCGTTTTGTTTAGGCATACATTTGGATAGGGTTAGTAATTACTAACCCTATCCAAAACAAAAAACAGTAACTAGTAGTTCTTTTTGTGAGTAGGCTGAGTGAAGTAGTTAGTAATTACTAATTAGTAATTCGGACAGTAATTAGTAATTAGTAATTCGGACAGTAATTAGTAATTAGTAATTCGGACAGTAATTAGTAATTAGTAATTAGCAATTTGGAGTCTTCGGACAGTAATTAGTAATTAGTAATTTGGAGTCTTCGGACAGTAATTAGTAATTACTAATTAGTCATTCGGACAGTAATTAGTAATTACTAATTAGTACATTTGGATAGGGTTAGTAATTACCTGGATATTGGGGAACTTGACCTCTGGGCCAGGATTTCCCGGCCATTTTTTACGGTAGACAAATTCGGACAGGGTTGACCGTGACTGAGTACTCACTGCTCTGGTATGTGCACTTTTGTGAGTAGACGGAGTGAATTAGGCCTCGAAACGGTGACCTTGCATGACCTTTTACAATTCCTTGTCTCATAGGTCTCTGTTCGAACTGAGCCTCGAATAGGGTACCTTGCACATATTTTTTCCATGTTTTCATTGCAGTTCTTCGATATTTTGTCGGATGGGTGCCACCTTCAAAACCGGTAATTTACTAATTTGTCCAAAAGGCGGGAACCGGTCTCTCGGGTACCTGGTGGTATCGTAGTTTTTTGGACATCGACCTTATGTCAGATTGATTCTCAGCCGAAGCCGGGTAATGGCCCCAGTATCTCAAATGACTTGTGTAACTCTATATGGGACGCTGGGCCCGGTTCCCAGCACGTGCTGCTCCCCACGAATAGACTGGAGCATTTCTCCTTTAAAAAAATAAAATGATAAAAAATAAAAAAAGAATAGGAACTGGTTGAGTAGAGTAGCGGAGACTATAAATAGATCGATGATGATAAAATGATTCGACCTCTTGGGTTGGCCGCTTGGCAACTATCATTGCTACCAGTGGTAATGATAGGAGCCCTGTGGACGTCGGGGCATGGGGTACGGTGGCGGTTCTTGGGCTTGACGGAAGTTTGGCGGACTCCACGGTTGTTTTTGACTCATTGATCTTGCCATCAAGTGGTTTTACTGCTTCCATTAAGTGGTTTTACTGCTTCCATTAACTGGTCTTACTGCTTTGTGACGGGTGTACATCTTGTGTGCATCTACTCATCCGTATCCATCCTGGTAGTGTGAGGTGAAATTTGAGAGAAGAATGTAGCTTACTTTAAAAAGAAAGGAAGAAAGAATTTCAGTACCATTGTTTCCATAAGCTACTTGTTTTCCTTGTGACGTCTCCTCCCCTCCTCCCCCCCCCGCTTCCCCCCCTAATTTCCCTCTCTTTCTTGTGGGTTGTTTGCCGATCAGCTCCTGGCGAGGCAGCAAGCTCAGAGGGATGACGAGGTCTCGCAGTGTCACCGGCAGATTCAAGCACTTCAGGTGTGAATGGAAATTTTTCATTTCGCGACTTATTCTCTGATTTTGATTTGATGACAACCCTCAGCTGTGCTTTCACCCAATTCAAGGACATCCAATCTCCTCCTCCTCCGCCTCGTCCTCCTCCGCCTCCTCCTCCTTCGTCTTCTTGTTCTCCTAATTTGTCTTCTTCTTCTGCTTCTTTCTCCGGCTTCTTCTTGTTCTTCTTCCTCCTGCTGCTTTCTTCTTCTTCTTCTTCTTCTTCGTTGTCGTCGTCTTCTTCATCTTCTCCTCCTCCTCTCTCCTCCTCCTCCTCCTCCTTCTCCATCTACCTCCTTCCTCCTTCCTTCTTCTTCTTCTTCTCCTTTCTGTTCCTCCCTTTCCTGGTTCTTCTTCCCGCTTCTCCTCCTCCTCCTCGTGCTGTTCTAGTGTGAAGGTGTTTCCTCAACCTCTGTCAATCTGCAAGTGTGATACGAACGCATGGGAGTTTCTTGTGAATGACACAAATAGCCTTGTGCCTTTTTTCTCTGTTGTGTTTGGGATCATTCAGGAGGAGCTTTCGGAGTTGGAGCGTGAGAACAGCCTGAGGATTCAGCAGGTGTGCCTTTTGTCTTTTTTTGTCTGTTTGTCTTTGAAAGGGGGTAGCCCCTAGTTTAGTTTCATTGTGTTCATTTAATTTCACAATTTGAACTCATGCCCTGTTTACTAATTGTTTCATAATGGGTGTACCATACCACTCAGCTGCATGGGCGTGGTGCTTTCTGCAAGTGTGTCCATTGAAAGAAAACCAACCAAGGTACCAGTCTTTCGGGGCACCCATGAATAGCTGGGTCGGCTTTTCCTGTAGGTCTGTCTGCAATGTCTGGGTCAATTTCACATTTTTTCGGAGGATTCGGGTTCTGCGTGAACCACCAAACAGAGTAGGCAGAGAGGAGGGGGTCCGTAGTCGGGGCTCTCGCCTTCATTCCTGCCTGATGGGCAACTTGAAAGCCTTTTGCTGTGTGTGTGTGTGTGTGTGTGTGTGTGTGTGTGTGTGTGTGTGTGTGTGCACGCACATACACAAGAGAGAGAGAGAGAGAGAGAGAGAGAGAGAGAGAGAGAGAGAGAGAGAGAGAGAGAGAGAGGAATGTCACTGGTGGCAAGCGGTTGGGAGAAGGTGAAATGGAAGAGAGTGTTTGTGTGTGTGTGTGTGGAGAGAGAGAGAGAGAGAGAGAGAGAGAGAGAGAGAGAGAGAGAGAGAGAGAGAGAGAGAGAGAGAGAGAGAGAGAGAGAGAGTCACTGCTGGCTATTAGTTGGGAAAGGGGGGAATGGAAGTGGACAATGTACTTAGGTCGTGTTCTTGTGGACTGTTTTAAAGTTTTCAAGTTTTTTTTACTTTTTTATGCCTAACTGCTTTCTGTTTTTATTTTTACGGAGTGATAAAGAAGGATTGGGAGAATTGGGGACTCATTCCCCTCTCTTTCTGGGATCAAATTTTTGCTATTTGTTTTGGCCGTAGGAAACACTGCTTAAGGAGGAGGTGCGAAATTTGGAGAGAGAGCTAAAACGCGAGGGTGTCGATATGACATATCTGAAAAATGTCATCTTGAAGCTCCTGGAAACTGGTAAGTGTCGCTGCTTGCTCATTTCTCGTCTCCTTGCGGTAAAATCTCATCGAACGCGACTTCACGTTATTTTTTCCCCATTTTTTTCCTCTTTTTCTTTTAATAAATCTTCTGGCGGTGAAAATCTGGCAGTTGGTTGCACTCCCACGGTTGTTGTCCTCTTCTCCCCCTCTGTCTTCCGTTCACGAGACAGTTCTCTATGATGACACACACACACACACACACACACACACACACACACACACATTTGCATGTGTGGTCGGTGCTTGGAGGGAGGGAGGGAGGGAGGGAGGGAGGGAGGGAGGGAGGGAGGGGAGAGAGGATGCATGATCGGACGGGGATGATGCAGACTCCTTACTGTCCTGGGTGGACGTCACTAAAGAAGTGTTGTGTGGTATGGGGGTGCGCACGTGGTGTCAATGACATGCCAGCTCTAAGAAAGTGAGAAAAAGAGAGAAGAGAGGAGGGAGGGAGGGAGGGAGGGAGGGAGGGAGGGGATGTGATTTGTGTTGACCAAGGGTTGATAACCTGAGATGGAGGGAGGGAGTGAGAAGGAGAGGGAGGGAGAGGGAGGGAGAGAGAGGGGGAGAGAGGGAGAGAGGGAGAGAGGGAGAGAGGGAGAGAGGGAGAGAGG